TCTAGGTCTAGTTGGTTCTTAAGCATAAACCCAGTAGTGGTCAGTCTTTCAAGATATCTAGAACTATACATTAGCTTCTCAAGCATGAGGTGCTGCAGCATCCACATCTGTCATGAAAACTAATAATACACCAATGGCTGATGAAAAATGATCAGTAATCAAGTCACATCACTGAATGTAAGCCACTCTGTCCTGACTAAATGCACAGGATTAACCCCTTGTTGCCGGGTGGCATGTACATACATGCCATGGCTGTTGTGGACAGAGTAGAGGATGGCATTGTATCACAACCATTCCTGCACCATTGGCTCTTTGGACGGAGTTTGCTTTTTGCAGATAGTAGTGGCTTCATTTTCATGGTGAAGCTTTTAAGCAATAGCACCTGAAGTGAAGCTAAACCTTCAAATTGTAAATATTAATAATTATAGCAAAATAAAAGCTTTTAGGTACTGAATGTCGCACGCAAACTACTGAACGAGCCAGGTGTAAACGGGAAACTGCCGATGTGCACCAACAATCCCCACAATCATGTCCACTTGCCAAACTTTTTTACCTGGGGTTGAATGGGTTAAACAGGCTTTGCCATGGAGAGTTCATCTTTGACTAAAGAAGAGTGGTGTGAGATTATGTGGTTCCTAAGCCATTCTATAAAGGCAAGTGCCCTTTTACAGCATAACTCTCCTGCTGTCCAACACTATCATGATTTGGGGATATTTTAGTGGTGCAAGAGGCAGTGGTGAGTTGTATTTCCTTGAGAGAAAACAATATGAGGAAAGTTAATCATTATATTGGTGTGTTAAATAAGCATTTGTTTTTGAAGGGAAGTTTGGTTAGGTGATTTAAATATTTTGTTTTATGTAGAGAATGTGTTTCTTTGCTGTACTTCTGGTAATTTTTAAAAGTCACTGTCTTACACGTAGCATTCTTGCCTTCTTACACTGACATTCCCTTTGTGTAATCCAGCAATAAAAATCAGATGCAGCAGGCCTATCATGGACCAGATGGCCGCATACTGAGCTCCGGGAAAGACTTGTGTGACTGCCTTCAACCTAGCTGCCCAGGTTGTCATTATCCATGTTCCAAGTGCAACTCAGGCAAATGTGGGAGTGAGTGCAGGTAAGGTGTGATTTCTTGAATCTAGTATTGAATTGATCTTTTGAATTAATGTAGGTAGCTAAATAAGGTCACAGGCTAAATTGAGTGTAGTTAACCCACTGCCACTGGCAAAATGTAGTTTTCATTGTAGTTTTGTTCTGTAAAATTGCTCTACAAAGAGATGGTTCCACAATTACTCAGCCACTATGGAATCAATTAGTAGACCTCTTGACGTCACCCAGTTTCACCTTTCCTTAATTTTTTACTAATGCTCTCGGTATTGAGGTTGTTGTTATTATTATTATTATTATTATTATTATTATTATTATTATTATTATTATTATTATTATTATTGCTTATCATTATTATTGGTATTATTATTATTATTATTATTTTTTAAGAGATTATAATTATTACAATGTTAATAACCACATGCCACGGGATGCACATGCCATGCCCACTGTGTATTTAATTTAGTGATTGTTTTTGCATATAGATGGCTCCACAAGTACAAGGTCACTAATGTGAGTCAATTACAAGAAGTACCTGCCTCACCTGTTTACCCTTTTCCTTGATTTTTGATAATACTTTCTAGTATTTAATGTTGTTGTTAGTATTGTCAATAACAATGTAGTATTTATGGTTTATAAAAAATATAATGGTATCAATATTGATAGCATTAGTATAAAAAGCTTTTTTCCCCACTAAATCAAGGAAAGTTGAGGTCACAAGATCTACTAATTGACCCTTTGTGGCTAAGCACTGGCAGAGACATTTAATAAAACAATAATAAAGTGAATGCAACATTTTCCCGGGGCATGGGGTTAACATTACTAATAATACTTGAAGGTAAAAGAGAATATATTTGAAAATCAAGGAAATGGACAGAACTAGTTAAAGGGCAGAACTAATAATCCTTATGTGTAAAGATGATAATAAATTGTTCTCAAAGTGGGTATGGCATACATGTGCACGCCATCCCTGACAGCATTGTACTCATAGCATGAAGACAGACATTACACCTTGTATTGACACAAATTAGTATGTCAAGTGTCTAAAATGGTTATTTCCGAGATCTTGATGAATGAAGGAATAATCTTCAATTTCCTTTTTTACAGAATCAATAGGAAATGGTTTTACGAAAAGGTTGAAGTAGAAGGAACTCAAATCTCATGGATGAATGAATATATTAAGAAGAATTGATTTTTGTAAATTGATCAAAGTTATTTGATTAATTAATTTAATTTCCCTTTATTTTTTTATATCTAGTATATTTGTCAAACATGTTTCTGATGAGGTAACAGTCATTTTGTGATATCAAAATCTATCTTCTTGAGAAACTCATTTGTATAGTCAGTTTTGCAATTTTTTGTATCAGTAAAAATGTAATAATATAATAATAATTTGTATAGTCAATGAATATTTGAATTGTTCAAGGCTTCACCTTTTTTCCCAATATATAAATAGTATGGATGTTATATATGTGTAAAATAAATGGAGCTTATTGTTTATGCAAAAGGTAAGAATGATCACTTTTTCTGTGCTGAAAAATAATAAAATGATTGTTATGTAGTTTCATATTAATCATTTACCTAAATTGAAATTTTTGTATAGAAATGTATTGTATAGAAAAGTATTTGCTTAAAGAAATAAGTTTTGGGCCTCTAGGTATCTTTAATGATTAATGGAAAATAGATACCACACTATATAAGAACTTTTGTTTTTCAAAAGTATAAATATGGGTTTACACTATAAATCTGTCCTTCTCTATATTGATTAAATGATTCTTCCACTTGATTCAATGATTATCTAATAAACTAATGAGGTGAAAAAAATAATGATAAGTAAGTAGTTAAATAATTCAATAAATGAGTAAAAAGATTCCCTGTATATATGAAAAGTAATGCTTGAATTTTCGTTAATGGATGTGTTAAGATTATATTTCAAAATTCCCCAGGCCCATCCCATTGCAAGTCTACTCCCTAATTACAGGAATCCCAACATTTTCCTTTCATGCGCTGGTTGATGGAGTGATGGTAAGGAAGAAAAAGAGGGACAGGAGGAATGAAAAGAAAAGATGGAGAGAAGGAAATGTAGAAGGAAGATAGAACTTTGAAATGAAAAATATATCTAGATTTTTGTTTTTGCATTATGAGAAATAATAACTTCATCATCATCATCAAGGAGTTAATGCCGACAGGCACATAGCCGCATCCACCCTTCATTTCCACCTACGAGGATCCCTCATGGCAAGACGCCAGCAGGGACTTGGCCCATCTCGAGTTCTTCACAACAGGTTTGGTCGATCTGCCCAAGCCACGACTTCCTAGGTTGTCCCACAGGCCTCCTCCACCCAGGGTTGTCTCGAACAGAGACTACCTGATGGGCAGGATCATCCTGAGGAAAGTGAGCCAAGTGGCCATATAACCTGAGTTGGTGATCACGGATTGTGCAGATAACAGGTCCTGTGCCAGTCTCACGGTGCACACATGGTCCCGCCAACAATACCCCATGATCCGCTGCAAGGACCTATTACAAAAGGCTTCAAGACGAGCCTCCGGGGTTTCCAAAGACTCAGATAAAATAGCAATATCATCAGCAAAGTCAAGGTCTGTAACCTTGATATTGCCCAGCATCAGATAGAATAGCAATATCATCAGCAAAGTCAAGGTCTGTAACCTTGATATTGCCCAGTGTTGCTCCACAATGACTTTGAACAGTAGCTCTGCCCAGTATCCAGTCCATGCAAGAGTTGGTGCAAGAACACAGCCTTGTCTCACTCCTGAACTAACAGGAAAGAAGCTCGACAGGCCCCCACCACACTTTACAGCACTTTCAGTACCAGTATACAGGCTTGCTATTAGTCCAGTAATCGTAGTTGGAATTCATTTCAGTCTCAGGATCTCCCAAAGTGATTCCCGATGCACCGTATCGAACGCCTTCTTGAGGGTGACGTAGGCTGCAAGCAGCCCACGCCCGAACTCACGGCAACACTCTATTGTGGACTTAGCAGGAGTGAATCCGGAATGCTCTGGTCTCTGGTGCCTCAGTAGATGGTCTCTGATACGTCTCAGAAGGATGTGGGCGAGAACCTTGCCTGGTATACTGAACAATGTGATGCTTCGGTGACTGCTGCAGTCCCAACAGTCCCCCTTCCCTTTCCGGAGAGGGATGACCACACCCCTCAACAGGTCAGGAGGAACGGTACCGGACTGACAGATGGCAGCCAGGACAGCATGTAACCCCCGCACCATAGGTTCACCATCAACCTTTACCATTTCAGCTGGTATGCTGCAGATACCTGCTGCTTTACCACTCTTCAGCTTGGAGATCGCCCCCCCTAACATCGGTTAGGAAGGGAAGATCCTCACTGACGGGCAGGTCCGGCAACGGGACCTTGGCACTCCCCATATCCAAGTTAACTGTCGGTGGGTCAACCTGGTACAGCTGCTCAAAATACTTAGTCCAATGCTCCTGCACTGCAACAGTATCTGAAATGATCTGACCACTTACTAAGCGAACTGCTGTCACCTGTGAAGAGGGCTTGGAATTCAGCTTTCTCAGGGCTTGGTATGCAGGACGTAGGATATTTATTAAGAAATGGCCTTCTACGTCCTCTGCAAGACTCCTAATAAACCGTTCCTTGTCCCTTCTTAACCAAGACCGAGTCCTGTGTACATGAGAACGGTGCAATTCCCGATCCCCAGTCAGACGAGCCGCATTACAAGCATCTGTGGCTTCCAGTGTCTCCTGCGAGATGAAATTCTGCATTTCTCTCCGGTGTACACCAATCGTCTCTTGAGCTGCATCAAGCGTTTCATGCTTGAAGGTATCCCACAGAAGAACAGGGTCCGTCAGACTGTCGAGCATTGTGAAACAACCAGAGATTGCTTCAGCAAACCCACAGGCACACTCCCCCTCCTTCAGCCTGTCCAAATGAAGCACCCTAGGGTGATCATTGGACTGCTGGGGAGTTTTGAAGTGGACCTGGAGGGTAGCCACAACCAATCTATGGTCAGTACCACAGAACGCAGCACTCCTGTACACCCTGCAATTCTGGAGGATCCTCCAACGAGTGCTAACGAGTATGTGGTCAATCTCCTTGGCTGCATTACCTGCATCGCTATACCATGTCCAACGATGTGGGTTTGGGTGCTGGTACCAGGAGCCAGAAATCCTCAATTTCTGGGACCTAGCAAAGTCCCGGAAAAGGAGGCTATTCTCACTACCAGCATCAGCTCCTGAACCATGGGGACCAACAGACATATCATAGCCAGCTCAATCACAGCTAGATACTGCATTGAAGTCACCCAGAACAATGCGAATATCTCGCCAGGGACATCTGTCTGCCACAGATGCAAGTTTGGCGTAGAACATGTCTTTCACCTCGAGTTTACAAACATTGGTAGGAGCGTACACAGCAATATGAGACATGAAACCATAAGATAGCTTCAGTCTCAATACCATTATATGCTCATCAGCAGGAGTAACCTCCACTATCGAGGGCTGGAGTATGCTGGACACAGCAATAGCTACTCCCTGGAGATGGTGACCATCGCTGCGGCCCAACCAGTAATAGGTGTAGCCTCCTGCACTGGTCATGCTGCTGCCAGGTCTTACCTCTGAGAGAGCAGCCACCTCAACTCTCAGCCTCTCCAGTTCCCTCAACAGTAGAGGCAACCGATCATCCTGATGCAAAGAACGGTCGTTCCAAGCCCCCACCCTGACTTCCCACCTGAAGTCCAGACTCGGGCAGTCACTTCGGATGGATGCCACCTCTGCCACTCCCACCGATGCTGCCCCATATAAAAGGGGGTGGCGGGCTGGGGGCCCCATCATCCACCTGTGGGGTTCCCAAGGGCTTCCAAACACAAGCTTCACACCGGACTGGTAGCTGCCAGAATACAGGTGAGACGAGTAGTTTCTTTTCCCAGCCGGCGCTCCAGCAGTCGCCCTCCCAGTAGGGCCCACAGTCCGCCTCACTTGCTGGGTGGGAGGGACTTTTCCCCTCCTCCCAGCCTTTCCATTTATACGTAACACTGACGATTGGTTATATCTGGGGGGAGGAGGACTGGCAAGGCCCACCTCCCCCAAGCCTCCTATTAACCCCAGGCAAGTTAGGGGCATGAGTTGGTACGGGCCACAGGGCCAGGGCATGTCCACATGCTGGTGGGCCATGACCCTGAACCTCTAGGGCCTCCTGCTGCTCCGAGATCCCCCACAGTTTAGCCTGGGACCGTAAGGTACCCAGTTTCCATGGGAAGCCATGTGGAGGCAATGCAGAAGTCTCGATGATGGAGAGGCTGTGCACTGGCTGGGGGAGGTTTATGCATGGCTGCTCCCTTTTTCTCACTAGGCTAGCCAGCGGTGGCAGCTGCAAGCACATAACACTAACTAGACTACCACATCATCGCTTCACATCACCCTGTGCGTGAAGCACAGGAGGAAGATAGAACTTTGAAATGAAAAATATATCTAGATTTTTGTTTTTGCATTATGAGAAATAATAACTTGAACAACCTAAATCCTTAAGCATTATTGCATAATAATACATCTTCATACACCTGCCTTCACATTATTAATTTCTATTACATTATTATTTCTATCATTGTTTACATCATGTCCTGAGGTAATCTGAATTACTGGATTTATGCTTTTCATCTTATTCAGAAAAATATAGAGATTTCATTGATAATTAGATATGTAAGGACAGTTAACAAATAAGATAAGAATAGCAAGCAATATATCTAGATATACTTGAGTACTTTTTTCTGTATCTCTCTCACTCTCTCTCACCCTGTATCTCTCTCTATATATATATCTTTCTCTCTCTCACTCTCTCTATGTATCTCTTTCTCTTCTCGCGTGTGTGTGTGGGGGTGTATGTGTGTGTGTGTGGGGGGGTGTATGTGTGTGTGTGTGTGGGGGGGTATGTGTGGGTGTATGTGTGTGTATGTGTGTGTGTGTGTGGGTGGGTGGTGGGGGGGGTATGTGTGGGTGTATGTGTGGGTGTGGGGGGGGGGGGTGCGTGTGTTTGTGTTTGTTTTCTTGGGTGCAATTGTTAATTATATTATTTCAGGGTTAAAGTTTCTTACAAAAGAAAAGGAGAAAAAGTAAAAATACACAAAGTGGAGCAATTGAATTTTATTGCACAATACAATCTTTTGTACAGGTTCCAAAAAATAGTACTGGCAATATACAGTAAATATCTTTTGTAAAAAATACACAAGTTTGAGAGCAGTTAAAATATACATTATTATGTATAACCAACAGCATACAATCTTCCTGACAATCCTTACATTATTATTGAAGGCATAGAAAAATCATCCCACTGTATTCAACAAAGATCTCTCCTTATTTTCTGGCAGTCTTCACCACAACAGTAATGAATTAGGATATTCTGAA